GACCTTGGACGGGCCACGGCTTCACCCGCTGAGTCACGGCGCTGAGTCAGACCTTGCTCATCCTCTGCACTAAATGCTGCTTATCCGAGTGTTCTCAGGGACACACAAAGACGTGCTCCTGGAGAGACAAGAAGCTTTCCCCCTGCTTCAACTGTAGCCAGTATATGCAATAATTAATAATTAAATACAATTATTGTATTGATGCTCTGCTGCCAGAGCAGCTGCCATGATCCTGCTGTTGGGAAACGAAATGATTCCCAGCTTTCCATTGCTTTTTACAAGTTGTTTTCAACTTAGAAGTCAATAAATAAAACTAGAAGCTTCTGTTGAGCTTAAACTCAGCTGGAAAAGAACACTGAAAAACGGCACTGCAGCCTTCAGAGCCCCCACCAAAATACCCTGAGCAGCAGGTCTGTATCACACATGCAGACACACACTATTGTGGGTATTAAAGAGCCTAAATCTGATTAAAGCCTTTCTATCCCCACCAGTGGTCAATTCCAGAAACCAGCTCACCCAGGAGGCTGAATTCATTTCATCCCCGAAGTCTAATTAAAGCCATTAGTGTATTCCTTGTCTTTCTGATAAGATCAAAGCATTCCAAGAGCCCGGCATTACCTTATTTTCAAGACAATTATACAACATATAGCATCGATTTATTCTGCCTCCAGCTGTACACATTTATCTCTGTCTATCATCGGCTAATCGGTCCCATCAGACACAGCCCAGCCCGGGCTCTCAGCTGACAAGTGCCTGCACTTGCCAGGCCGGCTTTCTCTGTCACCCTCCCCTCGAATTAACGCCCGGGGCAGAGCCCGGTGTGCAGCGCCCACAGCCGCGGTGGGGCACGGGGCAGGTCCCATGTCCCATGTCCCGGCCGCCGTGGCGGTGCTCAGGTGGCCGTGGTGGGACACAGGACATGTCCCATGTCCCGGCCGCGGTGGCGGTGTTCAGGTGGCCGTGGTGGGACACAGGACATGTCCCATGTCCCGGCCGCCGTGGCGGTGTTCAGGTGCCCACGGTGGGACACAGGACATGTCCCATGTCCCGGCCGCGGTGGCGGTGTTCAGGTGGCCGTGGTGGGACACAGGACATGTGCCATGTCCCGGCCGCCGTGGCGGTGTTCAGGTGGCCGTGGTGGGACACAGGACATGTCCCATGTCCCGGCCGCCGTGGCGGTGTTCAGGTGGCCGTGGTGGGACACAGGACATGTCCCATGTCCCGGCCGCCGTGGCGGTGTTCCCACCGGGGTTCTCCCAAGCCGGGGTGGCCCCCAGGCTGCCGCAGGTGCGCTCCTGGCCGCTGTCCCCGCCTGCCCCGCACAGCGCCAGCCTTGGCGGGGCTGTGCGACCCCAGGGATGGCCTTGCCCCGGGACCGCTGCGGTGCCAGGGGGCCCTGGCCAGCCCAGCGCTGCCGGGACCCTCGGGCACGGGCGGTGGGGCAGCGGGCACGGGGTGCTCTCCCCTCCCATAAACATCTCTCCGGCAGCTCACGGCCCCTGCGAGAGCCGAGCTGTGAATTTTCATCTCTCAGCTAATCAACTCGCCTGCTAGTCCAAACTTGTCAGGAGCTTTATCCCTGCCCTGCCAGCCTCCTCCCGGCCCACGAGTGACAGGAGACGTTCCCATCCCTTCCCGAGACACATCCAGCAGCTACAAAAACAAACATCCTCCCGCTGGTGATTCCTCCTCGTCAAACAGTCCTGACCCTGGTTCCCTCGGGAACATCTGCGCTGCGCCCGTGCCCGGCCGCCGGCACATCCTGAGTCGCCGGCAGGGAAGGGCAATGTTTACGGCGGGGACGGCAGAGCCGTGTTCCTGCCTAAACCAGGGGTTTATTAATTGCTGGTTCTCCCGATTCCTCTGTGACAATAGATTAATCACCCGGCCGAGGCCGCTCTGCCCGTGAGGCTCCTGCGGACGAGAGGCAGCTGTGGCAGAGCCGGGCTCCCCTTGGAGCCTCTGTCCCTTGGCTGTGCCCAGGCCCAGTGAACATGCTGCTCCTCCAGCTCTACATGAGCAGCGCGTGGAGCTGTGGCATCAGTGTGTAAAAAGCTCTTGGACTCCACACACGCACACACAAAAAAATTCTCCCATTGCTTCCAGAGCAGGATGAAAGCAATCAGAATCAGCTCTTCAGCTGTATTCCCTTGTCTGTTAGAGACTCAAGATCTGCTCACTCTACGGAAGGGCAGTTCAGGGGACCAATGCCTGTGTTGGAGAGCTCTGCAGCTCCCTGCCTGACCTGGGACCAGCAGCAAGCCAGAACACGAGCAGCCACCCTGTATCTTGCGCTGGCTTCAGCTTCCAAAGCACCGCAGTGCAGGGTGGCCCTCCACGGGGATCAGCCCCTGCCCAGCCCACCTTGGGCTCAGCTCGCCCTCAGCACCCCTCAGAGCCGCCCCTCACCCAGAGCTGACTCCAGGCTGCAGCAAGTGGGGGCAGTGGCCATGGGGCAATGTTTTCAGCTGGACAGTCGCTGATTCCTCATCAGCCAACACACAACTGGTTTGTGTTGCAGGTACATCTATAAAATCGCTGCAGCCATGCACGTGGATTTTATGAGCAGGTATAGACACTCAGGGACGAGCAGGGGATCCGGCATGGAGCAGGACCGGGGAATACATGCCAGAAGGATGTACAAACAGGAAGCAGAGAACTGCAGCCGAAGCATGTGTTATTTCAACCTCCAAATCTAGCCCTCCGCGTGCTACTTGCCCTATCTTGATTCCGAACGAGATGGTTGCCCTGAGAGGGATTTCCCAGGTCCGTTCAGCGGCTGCTCCCGGCCGTGGTGGCGCTCCGGGCCGGTGGCGGGGCCGGCGCCGGGGCGGCGCCCGGGGGTTATCGGCGGCGGTGGCCGAGGCGGAATTAGCGGGGCAGGGAAGTGGGTGAGCAGAGCTCCGCTGCTTGGCGTGTTTGCTTGTGCTAAACCTGCAGCATGAAAACTTTTCACAGCAACACTCAGAGCCTGAAGGCTTCCTTGGCTGCGCTGTGCAAACAAACCCAGTCCGCAGGCCCGGAGCTTGTGCTCAGGCTGAATGCACGCCAAGGCAAAAGAGTTTTTCCTGACAGAAATGTGGGTTGCAGCTTTTGGGGGCAACCACGCTTCCCGGGGGATTCCCTGTGATGGGGGTGCCGGGTGATGGGATGCCCTGCGATGGGGCGTCCTGCAGCAGGGGTGTGTGTGACGGATCTGCCTTTCGGTGGCGGCTGCTGCGATGCCCAGCGGCGGTGCCCCGCTCTCCGTCCCGGCTGCGGTGCTGCCGCTGCCCAGCGCGGTTCCGCACGGAGCAGCGGGCGGGGAGCGGCCCCGGCCCATTCCCCTTCCCGTTCCCTTTCCCCGGCCCGTTCCCCTTCCCGTTCCCGTTCCCCTTCCCTTTCCCCGGCCCGTTCCCGCTCCCTTTCTCCGGCCCGTTCCCATTCCTGTTCCCTTTCCCCGGCCCGTTCCCCTTCCCGTTCCCTTTCCCCCTTCTCGTTCCCCGGCCCGTTCCTGGGTGCCGGTCGCCCTCCAGCGGCCCCGCCGCGCCGCGCACGGGCCGAGCCCTTCCTGGGCTGCGATGGCACTCCTGCCCTGTCCTGAGCATCCCTGCCCGCCCCTGAGCATCCCTGCCCGCCCCTGAGCATCCCTGCCCGGTCCTGGGCTCCCCTGTCCTGTCCTGGGCTCCCCTGCCCGCCCCTGAGCATCCCTGCCCGGTCCTGGGCTCCCCTGCCCTGTCCTGAGCTTTCCTGCCCGCCCCTGAGCATCCCTGCCCGGTCCTGGGCTCCCCTGCCCGTCCCTGGGCTCCCCGTCCTTCTCCCCGGCTGCCTGGAGCTCTCCTGCCCGGCCCGGGCGCGTTGGCGGCCGGTGGGGATGGGGGCAGAGGTGGCTCGGACGGCGCTTCCCAGCCCCAGCCCCACACCCAGCAGTGCCCGCAGCCCATGTGCAGAGGCTGCCAAACCCTCAGGCCCCCTGCTTTCCCCACACAAATCCTTGAGCTCCTTCCTTGCCCTGCACAGACCCCGGGCCGGGATAACGCCCGCGGGGCACGGAGCTGTTCAGCCAAGGGCTTGCCAGCATCTCCCGCTGGGGCAAGGACCTGCCACGCTGCTTTTACCGGGGCTGCGGCTGGGCCACACCAGCTCCCGTTCCTGTCCGGGCAGGGCTCCTCACCTCCGGCTGTCCCGGGCAGCAGGCAGCACCAGTTCGGTGGCTTTCGGCTGGTACCGGCACTGGCACGACCTCGGGGATGTCATCAAGCCTGGAGAGATGAGCAAAGAGCTTCTGCCCAGGCTGCTGCAAAACCTGTTCAGGTGAACAGGTGAACAGGCAAAGATAAGAAAATCAGGTCGCTGCTGGGGCTCGGGAGCTGGTGGCTCTGCCCCCAGAAGGGCAGGGAGGCACATGGAGCAGCCCCAGCTCTCCGGGCAGAGGGTGGTGGTTCTGTGCATGGACACGCTGCACCCCAGACAAAGCAGCTTTTCCTGCAGCCAGGCTCTGCTCCCAGCTACATTCTGCGACATAACCGAGCCGCAATTCTCGGCGGCAGAGGGAGCTGCCATAAGGCTGCATCCTGTCCAAGGCATCAGCAAGGGATGGGGGCTGCTCCTTCCCCAAGCCCCCAAGTTCATTAATACAGCATCATCAATTCAGAATTGTGACACTGAGGCAAAGAGGTACTCTAGGAAAACTGTTTTTACTTAAAAATACCTAAAAGCCAGAGCATCCATCTGGAGCATCCAGAGGTTGCTGTGACACCTGAAGCACAGCTGCCCCAGGGCACCTCCCAACTTCCAGGACCGGCAGCTGCAGGTGGAGATGGAGGAGCAGTATGTTGTGGCTGCAGCAGCCAAAACTACTCAGGATCCATTGTACACCCAAAAAATTATCTTCTGACATTTCAGAGCTTCCATTCAAGCTCCAGGTTCCAGGTGAGCACCGATGCCCAGGTACCACCAGCAGGACTCTTTCCTGTTGGGCAGCCCCAGCTGCAAACATTTCCTTAAGCAATTTGCACATCTTAAAAATAAAATCCTTTATTGATAATATGAATGTTTAACATGTTTAATGCCATCAGCTATAAAAATGATTAAAGACTTCAGCTTGGTACATTTGGCTTTACAAATTTACAAGTGTTAATGAATTAATACTAGTGTTATATGTTTTGCACTTCATTATACTCCATTAGCCAGTGACAAACTCTGCACCAATGTCTGCTTAGGACATATGAGTTAGAGAAGAAATATTTAGTTGCTTTCACACAGAATCTACATCAACAGTTAAATACTAACTCTAAATGTCTTACTGAATTAGTTGGATCCATTTTAATCCCTTGTGCTTAGTTTCTTTCAGAAGTTAGTCTACTAGCAAAAATACATTCTTTTGCATACCCCTTCCCATATTATATTTTAGAATAAACAGTACTCAGTGCATTTCCTATTAGACTTCATCATAGTATCTCTCTCTCTAGAGCTATCAATAAAGGAAGGGAATAATACCAGTCAGATTAATGCAAAAGTAAAGAAACTCATTAAAGCAGTGTATACAAAAGCCTCACTTTTCAATCAGAAGGGATACATGGGCCAAAATCTATTTGCCCATCCATTTTTGCATTTACTCTCAGCAACAGCAAGAAAAAAATCTGCTGTGGACACTTAGTTAAAAAAGTAATAAATGTGCTTCCAAAAGAGTCATTGCCCATTTAGCTCTGGCTGCCTCCATGTCCCTGCTGTCAATACACAGACTGTTCCACTGGATTAAAACAACAGCCCACAATACCACTATCTAAAAGGCTACTACAAGGTCTGTGCAAACCTCTAAAGCCCTGCCACGGCTGTGTGGGGTCACTCCAGCAGCAGCCACCTCTAAAGCAGCTCGGAGCTCCCACGTCCTGCGGAACGAGGCTCACAGCCCACAGGGACGCTCTGCCAGGGGCAGCTCTGCCCTGGCACAGGGATCTGCCCACAGCAAAGGGGTTCTGCCTCATGAAACACTGAAAACTGACGAAGGAGAACGCGTCTCTGGCAGTGGGAGCTGTGCTCTGTGCAAACACGGCTCTGCTGCCGGGGGAAGTGCTCGACGCTGGGCGACACCAAGCAGCAAGTCCAGTTTCTACATTTAGGATCAGCTCACATCCAGCACCCGAGATCATTAACTCAGGGTCGTGCTCTCAGCTTCTGCCACTGATCTGTGGTGTTTGTCCTGCATTTTTCAGCACAGTGACTCAGAAAAGCACTGTGCTGTGCCCGTTGGTTTTCTTGCAGCAAACATTGCTGCACAGGAATCAGCTGCTTCTCCCGGGTCCAAATACTTCTTCACACATATGACCTGCCTCAAATGCAGGCAATTCCTCACTGAGGAATTTTTTAAAATCTCAGTGAGTTGCCATGGTTTCTTCATGAGAGGCAGAAGATCAAGAAGAGATAAACACTTCCCTAATACACTGTACGTGTGTGACATACTCACACATGTACACATATTCAATTCCACAGCAGCAATGATTTGGTTCCCTATTTGCAGCCAAGGAAAGCTAGCCACAGCTAGCAGGTAAAACCCAGGTGAGTCAGACTTAACTGACACAGATGAGGAACAAAATTATTGCTTTTGTTTAAAGTTGAAGATCCCATGTCATAGGTGTTGCAAAAAACCTGTATTGGATGGATGAGTTACTTTTTCAAGTACTAGTGAGATCTTTATCAAGTAACAGAAAGATCCTTTTCTCAGAAGTTCTACACACAACAGTAGAATGCTTGAAGAGCTTGAAAATTCAAGGTGATACACCAGAAACCAGAGTTCAGCCATTTAAAGCACACAGGCATCTCGGCAGGAAAGCAGAAAGAACTATATGGACAAGGAATACTGACAGAGAAGTAATCTGGATGATATCACAACTAAATTTTTTCCCAAGAAACTCCTGTGTGCTTCCTCAAATAGCTGGGAGCTATGTCCTTCAGGACATAGCCTGGCTGGCTGCACCAGTCTGGTAGTCACCTAGCAGAATTTGTAATACATTTGCTAACTTAACTTAGCAAATGGAAAGAATTAAAAAGAAAACCAGTGTTGGTTTCAACATTCAGGACTCAGAAGAATTTGTTTCTGCAGCTAGATGTTCCCCCCCTCACCTTTTCCCAAGAATCACATTCATATTGCAGGCTTAGTTCAGGCACTTTTATAAAATGTTCATCTGGAATAAAAAGTCTGCAAAAATTACTTCTGCATAATTTAAAAGTAGCATTTCAGTCCCATTAGAGGTTGATAGGTCCCACCACATGATTATGGTTGTTATCTCTAATGATTTGACTGCTGCCATGAGACATTTGGAGGCTACTGTATAGCTGTAGTTAAGGTTTCTTCATAAACAAAAATATTTTCCTACCTATTAAAAAGAAAAAAAAATATACTAAATGCTTTATACAGACAGAATCTGCTACTATGGAAATAAATAACATGGAGTGGAAAAACAGTGTCTTAGCTTGGGTAAGCTAAGCTGTGGAATGTCACATTCCCGTTTTCTGGAGACTAGCTGCTGCTTGGCAGGAGGATCTCCAGGTCTTTGCCATTTGACACGACAGAGTTGTTAGAGCAGCTGCTGGCCACGTCCATGGGGGCACCCAGGGAGGAGGCCTGGGAAGAGGTTTTGGTTAGAGGAGCGGGAGCAGCAGGTGACTGAGCGAGGCCGGGCTTCTTCGGAGGAATGGGTGGAGGGTTCCCTCTCTCTGCTCTGGGAATGGTTGGTGACTTAATCCCAGGAGACAACGGGCTGAGCGGGCTGGAAACCTTGACAGGGCTCGGACAGTGCCCAGAGTCGGTTTTGGGGCTGCCAGCATTTGCCAGGTTTCGATAGTCCGTGCCGAAAGGGGAGCTGTTAGGGGAGACGGGCTTGATGGGGCCCTGCTGGCTGGTGAATCGCGACAGCACCTGGGTGACGGTGTTGCGGGCCAGCTGCTTGGCGGCAGAGTTGTCTGCCAGGGTGGGAGACAGGTCCCGGGAGGGAGGGCTCTGCAGGCCCCCTGGCTGGTGCTCCTGCTCCGCCTGGGACTGGAACTTGTGCCGAGCTGCGTGGAAACGCTGGTTGATGCCCACCTGGTAGGAGGACTGGTAGCCGGGGCTGCTGGCCGAGGCTCCCACTAAGCGTTTGGTCAGCACTGGTGAGGAGCAGGGAGAAGGGGTCAGAGAGGAGGCAGCTGTGCTGCCGGGAGACAGGGACGCCCCCGCAGAAGGCAGCTGGGACATCAGATGCACCGGTGACTCTGTTCTTACAGGAGAACTTCCATTCTCCACTGCGCTTTCTGCGGCTGCAGCAGATTTCTCCCTGTGAACTTGGCTCTCTGCAGCATTTGTCTCCCCACCCATCTGCACGTCTGTGTCGCAATGCCCATTGGATTTTGCATAGGAATGAGCAGGTGTAGGGGGGCTGGCAAACATGGTGTGAACAGCTTTGCTGGTGCTGGCAGGGTTTGCCCGCTCTGCCTGCAGACTCTCGGTCTGGCAGGACACAGATTTCATTGGGGGACTGTCAGTTGTGACCCCCCTGGATGTCACCGAGGGGCTGGGATGCACAGGCTTGGAGGGACTGTGCTCCTGGCAAGAAGCCTCCAGCTCTTTCAGGGCTTTCTTCAGACACTCCACCTCTTCTTTGAGTGCTTTTGTACGGTTTTCTTCTCTGTTCAGCTTAGCTTTCAGCTGTTCTCTTTCAATGTCAAACTCTGAGAGCTGCTTTTCTACTTGTGCTTCCATCTGCAAACCCCGCTTCCTCTTGGCTGCCAGCTCCTCTTCCAGTTTACTCACCTTACTCTTCTCCTTTTCCAGTTTCAAGCTCAGTTCTGCTGTCTTCTGGCCCTCTTCAGCTGCTTTGGCAGTGGCTTTCTTGCACTCCACAACAAGCATGGAAGACAGTTGCTTGTGGCGTGCCCTTTCCTCCTCCAACTGGCTCGACAGCTTCTTCTGCTCTTTCTCAAACTTTTTCACTTGGGACTTTTCAAACTCCACCTAAAAGATTAGAACAAGAGATTTTAAGGGTACCATAAAACCTTCTGAAAGTAAATGAAGGGCAACACCCCAAAAGGGAACAGGTTTACTGTGTATCTTGGAGAAATTACAGTAAAAAATAACAATGGCTAAGAAAGAGGTTATTGCACCAGAAATCAGCAAAATAGTCTGGAACAAGTCAGCTTGCACACAATAACAATTATTACTTACTAGTAGTTTTATCCTGTATGACATTTGATTGGCCTTTAGTGACATACACACCCAGTCTGCCATGCACTGACCGAGCAAGCAAAGCTTCCTTCCACCTCATTTACCACTTTGTCAGTTTGCCTTTTAAAGGCATTTAAGCTTTAAAATGCTGATGTGTTATGTACGCTTAACAGCGCTTGAGTAACAGAAAACAGTGGCTTAAATATTTATTAGCATCTCTGAAAAACACCCCCAGGAGATCTGCCACGACTTATTCTGAATTTTGAGTACTGCAGGGAGCTATCAATTGTAAATGCTATCCGGTTCTTCAGATCTCCTCGGATTTCTGGCTGAAGTGAGATTTCAAAGCATTTGATTTCCTATTAATACCTTTTAGCATTGCTCAGCTACCAAAACACCCAGAGCAATGTAAGGTTGCTTTCCATACCAAGATGATAAAAGTGGCTAGGAGTGCCTTACGAGGGAGGCTCCTGCTGCTGTCCCAGCACAGCCCTGCCCAGCTGCCCCCAGGCTGGTACCTGCTGGGTGAGCCGCTCCCGCTCCTTCTCCAGCATGTAGGTGACATCGTCGCCCTCGGCCGTGTCCTGGGCGTGCCGCTGCCTCTCCTCCTCCAGGTCCAGGATCACCTGCCCAACAAAGAGCAGCCACTCAGGCAGAGCCCAGCGCCTCTGCAAGGCCAGAATGGCACCGAGAGCCACCACGGCAGCTGCAGGAACCCAGCTCAACTCACAGCACACAAAAGCAGCTCTGGGACAAGTCCAGTCTCTGTTATTGTCTGGTCAAAGTGAGCCAGTTTGTGAAAGACCTTAGGGAAACCTCACGCTGGGTCTGTGATCACTTTGTCATTAAATATCCCAGCTGCACACTTTTCCCCCAGACTGTGCAGGATCCTCGGGCGGTTCATGTTATGAATGGTGCCCTCATTCCAGAACGGCTGGGGCTGGAATGGATCTCTGCAGGTCACCCAGCCCAACCCCCTTGCCAAGGCCTTGCCCTGGAGCAGGTTGCACAGATCAGCCCAGGAGGGTTCTGAGTACTGGCAAGGAAAGAGAATCCACAACCCCTCCACAGCCTGTTCCAGTGTTCTGTCACCCTCAAAGTAACTCAGTTTTTCCTCATAGTCAGCTGGAAATTCCTGTAGTTCAGTTTGTGCCTCTTGTCCCTCGAAACTCAGAATTTCCTGGCAGGACCATCAGTGCAAGGCCGAGCAGGAGCAGAGGTGCTGCACGCAGGAGACACAGGGCTGCAACAACAGGACGCTCCCTGCTGTGGCTCCAGCAGCAATTCCCACTCAGCCTTCTCCCAGTGCCTTACAGGGACTCCAGTGTAAAGTTTATTTTAAAGAACATTAATTTGTTCTTCCACTTAACAACAAGATGAGCTCTTGAAGTGAAACTGCTTCCCATAAGGGCTCAGTGAAGGAGCTCCTTCAGCTTTAACACTGAATTACATGAATAATTGAGATGCTATTAACAAAAAAGCCAGAATACGAACTTCCCAAGAGGCTCTGCTTATCTCATCACCAAAACTAAGCTCTCCCAACACATGCTCACCATGAACTTAGCAGCTCCTCAGTCTTCCTGAAATTTAAGCTTCCAAATAATGCTTAAATATCATCAAATATACAGGAAGCTTTAACAGAAGTAGACAGGAAGAGGAAAACGTGAAAAACTATCTGATTTTAGTGTATGACTTAGTTGGATATTTGGCTGAAAAGTGAAGCACAGACTTGTTCTTACTTCTAGTGACATCAATTTTTTTGTGGTAGTATGGTCCAACACATGACCAAGCACTTTACTGGTGTCAATATACATTAAAGGTATGTCTGAAGAATAATAGGTGCTTCAGTAAAGAGGCCAAATGGCAAGAAAAATACTTTTGGTCACTCCATACATCCTTCCAACTATAACTTCTGCACATCTTAATTGAGGCCAAACCTACCTTTCTGTGCCTGCTTTCCGCAGCAGCTAGTTGGGATAACATTCTTTCCTGCATATTCTTGCAATGTTTCATCACCACTTTCAAAATAGATAAAGGATTGGAGCATACTGGCTGCTTTTCACCATGATTCCCCTCTTTCAGTGTCTCAAAATCTCTCTGCAAAGCCATCAGTGGATCACTGATGTTGTATTTCCCATAGCGTTCCTCAATGAATGTGTCCCTGTGCTGGGCCTGCAACAAAAAAAAACAAATTTGCATTTTAATACACTTAAACTAGCTAAAAAACCAGGGCTTTGTAGTTAATACTCCTTTTCCCCAGTTTTCCATTTTAAAAGAATTTAACAAAGTCTGATTCATATCCTGTTATCTGCTAGAAATAAAGGAAATAAAGACAAATCTTGCTTAAAAACACAGATTCTCCACAATATATTCAGTCTACAAACATCCTGATACCACAGCTACCTGCCAGGGCCTTGACTTACATTCCACAGCTGTGTGAAAGGAAAGAAGGTAAGTACCAACTCTTGCTCAATAACAGATTTAATCATTTATTGTGCATCAGTGAAAGAAGCAGTTGTGTGGTTTCCTTGACTATGTCACCATCAAAGAATTTCATGTTGAGCAATTAAAGAGTTTCATTCTCACAAGACCCATAAATCTGTGAATTGTTAATAAAATCTTTAATGTTCTCATCCAAACTAAACAGAGTTTAGTTTCTCAAGCAGCAAGACAGGAATGATGAGGTTTCCTTTGGTGCTTGTAAGAATTAAGACAACTCACACGTACTAGGCTCTACATTTACAGTGCTTAATGGCTGGACTCGATGAGCTCAGAGGTCTCTTCCAGCCCCAGTTATTCCATGAATCAGCCATTCCATCTGTAAATCTGTTTGTTAGGATACCCATAGGCTTATCCTAGTCAATGATGACTCTGAAGGTCTAAAAACAAAACAAAATCTCATAGACAGATATGAAAGTATTATCTGTGTGTTCAGCACCATGATAAGAAAGCAAATATTTATGCAACGGAAGACACAGAAAACCAGATGTAGATGCAAAAGAGCCCTCAGAGGCATCTTGGCTCAAAGAAGTACAACCACTGATTTCCAGTGAAATGGTTCTGAGCTGAGTTGTGAGCATTTGTGAAAACCTGTGACAGTGTTCCATTCCCCTGTGTGCTGCTGGCAGCACCACCCCATGCCCAGCAGAGCTGATGCACCTGCCAAGAAATAACACCTGAATATGAGACTTCAGCTTGATCCCTCTGGATTTGTGTTGTCCTGTAAGGACAGCTTACCATGACAGTTCGTACCTTCTCTTTTCTGCAGTATAAATGACTTTTCTGCTCTGCACTGGCGTGTCCTTGGTGAGGCCAAGAGAAGGAAGGGGTTTTTCCTCTGCTCGAGACACCTGCAGCACTGAAATGCAGGAGTGAGCCCCAGGACCTTTATCAAAGTGTGTTTAATTCAGAACAGACTTTAGCATGTGTGACCTCAGAAGGGCTCTGACCCCAAATGCCCTTTTCCTGCCACAGCACACAAGTTTTCCTTTGAGTAACTGCTCTGAACGAATGCTGTGTGCCCTTCCCAGGTGTGCTTCACCCTCCTGCTCCCAGCGGGCAGATCACCCTTTGCAGGCCAAGCACAGCAGCTCTCTGAGCTGGTGGAGGGCCCTGAACACAAATCCCACAGCAGCCCAGCCCTGCTGACGCTGGGAATGGCATTCAGCTGAACAAAGCTCCCTGCTCTGAACGCAGAGCCAGCCCGTGCCAGCCTCGCTGTGCACTGCCCAGAACGCCTGCCAGGGAGCAGGAATGGCAAACCGTCACCCATTTCTTATGGGATTGCACAAGGACATCATTGAGACAGGAAAGACTAGGCCTGACTCAATGAAAAGACAGCTCAGAAGCCAGTACTTCTTGGAATGGCTCTTTTGTGATGTCCCAGTACCAAAACCACAAATGCTTCCCTCGAGCACACAAGAGCAGGAGTCACAGAATTGTGGAACATCCCCAGGCAGCAGCTGGTAGAGCTACACTGGAACAGTGAGAGTTAAACAATAAAACATGGCTTTATTCAAAGAGCTGGCGAGATTTGCTGGTCCCACCTGCATTCCGAAATGCAGCCATGTGATCAACATGAAATAAACTAAAAAAAAAAGATTTTTGCTCTTAAAAGGAAAAGTGTTTACATTACCTTGACAAGAGGCATAAAAAACCCAACCCAAAATATCTTCTCCATGACCAAATTAGAGACATCCAGCCTGTGATTCCAGTTTGGAGCTGGATTTTAACCCTGCAGTAAACAAACACAGAGGAACAGCGCACACTTAGAGATACCCCTCCCTCTCTATCAGCAATATCCATCAGGAACTGTGGATACCTTTGATCAGAGCTTGAGATATTGTTCTAACTTTACACAATAAAAAAAATGAGAGGAAGGAAAAGATCAGCCCTGGAAATAGGAGAGCAGCCCTGGATAATGGGACAGCCTGGTTTAATGAATCACAGGAAAAGCTACAGGTTTGGCTTTTTTTTAGGAACAGGGAATCTTCTGTTTTTCTAAAGTGTTTATAAAAATGACTAAATGAAAGCTCCATGTAAGTGTGGAGGGAATTTCTAAGTGACTCAAGCATTAATAAGTCTGTAAATATGAACTGGGATCTCCATCCAGCTGGCCTTACTGCTTTGACAGATGAGCTTAATCCCAACTCATCCCAGTGCTGGCCATTCTACCCAGAAACATGGGAGAGACCCTTCAGAAGGGCACCAGTGCTTCAACTGCCTAAATAAACCCTGCCTTTGCTGCTGGGCAGCTTCTAGCAAATAAGAGCTCCAAAACCTGAGATAAAGGTGATTTTTGCAGTACTGAAGGTGTAAGAAAATCCATGTTTTCCTCTGCTCCTCACAGCACTGGGCTCTGAACTCTGAATAAACCACCCACTCTGAATTCAGTGGGGTGGCTGATTTCCTGTTTGGGAAAGAACAAGAAGTTCTTCCTTGCTACTTTGAGCAATTAAGTATTTTCCTGAACTAGCATGACAAACAGATGAGACTATCATAACATTAAGAGCTTTCTCAAGTCCAGCTATTCTCCTTCAGTAGCCAGCAGAGCATAAACATTTAATTAAAGCTGTCTAGACCGGAGAAAGTCTTAACCAGGTCATCCTACACCGACCACACCATGTTTGCAAAAACAAACCCAGTGCTTTGGCCACTGTGCACTTGGAAATGCAAACAGGGATTGTCCAGCCTGTGACACCTCTGTGCCACAGGTCCTACAGAGCAGCACCGGAATCCCTGAGGCAGCCCTTGGAAAATGAAGTCAGTGCCATAATCTCCAGAGGTTGGTTTATACAGGTGTGGAAATGTCACAGAGAATGACCTCTGCTGTGGCCGCTGCTCCTCCCTGAGACAGCTCTGCAGCTCAGCCCCTCTCTCACTGAGGTCACGTCCAAACATCGGCAACACTTCTGATTTTGTCCTGGCTGGACTGGATTCTATCTTAAATACAGCTGCCGTTCAGCCTTCAGCACAGGAGGAACTTGATGGTAGAGGAACACTCTGTTAGTGAGCCCAAAGAGAAGAAAAATCTGAACTATCCTTAAAAATAAACTTCCAGAAGACTGGAAAAATTAGGCACAAGCAGAGGGGGTTCCATGTGAAACTGGCTGGCTTTGAGCTCAAGTTTGGGTAATGGACCACTGCTAGTCTGTCTGGGAAGAGATAATTCTGATTTTCTGGGGCTGAAGCGACATCTGACCCAACTGAAAAGATGTTTCCTGTGCAGGCAGGCAAAGCAAAGGCTTTGCTTTGTGAGGAAAAAGCTACTGTTTCCCCTTGGGATTTCTAGCCTGTTTTGGGGTGAATGTTTCCCATAAGCAATTTCTGTATTTTTTTTTAAATAAAATATTTCTTGCTACTTGTTTATGTGACAGAATAGTCTCTCTCTCTCTTCAGTAATCTTTACAACTTGTTTTACTGGAACATCAAACAGGGAATTTCCAGGACCTATTTCAAGTGTTTTTTGGACATCAAGTAGAGCATTTCTCCTCCCTGTAATTTCAGAGTTCGGGTTTTAACCCTTGGTACAAAACAAACACACTCTTAATTAACTCTAGCTACTGAGTTTGCAGTTCTCCAGTAATAATTTGCACAGAAGTTCCTCCTTCATGCAGCAGAGAGTGGAATAAGCTTTAAATAGCTCCTTACTGCCTTGAACTTCCTTATTAGCATCTCTCCCCAGAGACAGAAGTTGGGAATAAAGACAGGCTGAGGTCACAGCAAGCCCTGAGAGAGAAGGGAAACGGGGGTGGGGACCACTTGCTTTGCCCAAAAATAAATGTCAAAATGCTGGAATGGGATTTCCAGTGTTGCAGCAGCTCCAGCTCTGCAGCAGTGCCACAGAGCCACCAAGGAAACTGCTCAAATGCAGCATCTGTCTGACTGCCATCACTGCATCAAGTGAGCAGACCTGACAAACCAGAGCTACCCACATCTGCCCAAGTGAGACCTGCTATCAGCTCTGAAAAACAGAAGCAGCTTTCTCAGGAAATGTCAAGCAGCACAAAAGTGCAATTTCCTCTCCTGGGAAGCTCCGGGGCAAGGCTGGCTGTGCTGTCCCACAGCCCGGGCTGGTGCTCCAGGGGCTGCACCCTGCTCAGGACTCACCCCAAAACCAGGGAACCCAGCAGCACCCAGAGCCCCGAGCAGGAGCCTGCCAGCACGGGAGGCACCCCCACACCTCTGCTCCTCTCAGCACACACCTGGCACTCCGAAGGTGAGGAGAGTCACTTCTGCAGAGGTGCTGGCAAACCCTGCTGCTTCATGCAAGAAAGAAACAAAAAAAATTCCCCAAGCTCGCAAGAAAAGCTGTAAGGAATGCCTACATTCCAGCAAGACAGCACCCACGGGAACACTGCTCCATGGAAGCTGCTTTCTAAGTGATGCATGAGCCAAATTTGCCCCATCTGTGAAAGATTTAACAGCAGGAAGGTTTTGTATTACTGAACTTCTCTTTTTATTTAAACAAGAGGTAGACTTAAGTTTTTGAAACTGCACTGTAAACCTAATTTCTAAATCCACTAACAAACAACACCTTGTTTTTCATTAATACTGCTTTATGGTGAATTGCTGGACTCAGAAGCAGAGAGATGAATACCAGCTCCCAGTCATTAACACAAAACAGTTTCTATTCCAGTGTAAATTGCCTGAGGCTTTATTAACATAAAAGAGTAAGCCAGAAAGCTGTTTCCTGTTTTCTAAAAGTAAACAGAACCCAGTTCTAATGTATGGAAAACAGGGGGGAGGGAACAAAGTGCTCTAACACAGCGATAGAGATCCATTTAAATATTGAATTGTTTCCAGTCGTGGTGTGCTATTTCAGAAGGCAAACCTGTGGCTCTGCAACCCTTCCTGCACAGCAGTCAGGACTGAGAGTCCAGCTCTCAGGATTATGCAACTCTCTGACAGCATCTGGGATTTTGGATGATATAAACACAATTACAACTACAGGAAAAGGAGCACAATAAGAAGTCAGGCTTAAAATCTGTTCCAAGGAGAACATTGAAATTTATGTAGTGGACAGGAAGCTACTTTCAGGCAAAAAAAAAAAAGTTAGTTTTTTTTTTTTTTTTTTTCCAAAGGGGTTTTAAAACAGAGGAAGCAAACTGAAGCACTGGGAAAGAATATTTTGAATACAGTCAGTTTGTCAGACAGCAAGGAAGAAAGGGCCAAGATCTGGGAAAAGGGTATGAAAAGAGGGGAAAAAAGGAGTGAGTTCAACAAGCAGTGTCTGGAATGCCTGGCTCAGCAGCTCGATTCTGTCACAGAGAGAAACAGAGCCAGTGCCAGCCAACAAGTGCCTGACACCACGAGGGAGAGGAAAACTATTTTAAGCTTTGTCATCTGCACGCATGGATTCTCTCTGCTAAATGCCAGATGCAAAATGTTTGTCTTTAAGCATGCAGGAATATCAATTATTGCAGACTGTACTACAATCAGACGACATGTTTACAAATTAAGGTACTCTTCCTCTGCAAGTGCTTGTCCTTTTCTATAATGTACCAAAGGATTTGACTCAAACAACCAGAGCTCAGAAACATTTAAATCTGAAGCAGAAGTAAAATTAGCCCAGGAAGGGAAATGTGTTTTTGTTACTATGAGGGAAGCAAACAGGCAGATAAAATTCTGATTTCCAACCACTGGCATCTACGTGTTTAACATAGCTGCTGGAGAAAATCACTGCTGTGGTTTAGGATTATGCAATCCCCTAAGAAAGTTCAGAGCACTGAACTCCACCTGCTCCAAGATATACTCACATTTAACATAAAACTATTTCTCTTCCAAAGAAATGCAGCTGCCAAGGCAGGACACCCTGTCCATAACACTTAGGGAACTGAGAGAGCTGTGAGGCCATATCAGACAGTTCCTCTGTGTGTGCAACAACCAGCTTCCCCCAGCCCCTCTCCAAAAATTACAACTCCATTTGTCCAATTTTTACACGTCAAACGAAATATTCTCAAGAGTGCAAATCTTTAAGTCAGTCTTAGAAGTTGTTTTTTCTTCAGGGCAGCACTTTTATGTATCAAAACGTGAGTAAACAGATTAGCAAGGTTTCCTTTAATTAGTCACACACAAAGTCTTTCGGCCAGCGAGGCACGGTAAAGCTGTTACCACAGTTACTATCAGCAAACAACGACAAAAACAGTGTAAGGCCAGTATTTCTCCGGCTGTATACTCCAAATAAACGGCCAAAGCAGAGCGGGAAGGTCTGTGCTGCTGAGCCTTTGCCCAGCCCCAGATGAGGCGGTTACACGACTTTTCCTCCCCGCATGGAAAGGGCAGCACTGAGGACAGGCTCTGCAGCGAGGACAGCACACTGGACACTACTGCATCCCACCGTGCTGCAGGCACAGCCCATGCCAGGGTGGATTCTCCCCCGAGATCACTCTCAGAGCCCTCAGCAAGAGCCAGCTTGGGTTTGAAGCTCTCATTGCCCTTTCCCACCAGCTCCAGCTGTCCTCACAATCCCCAGATGGAACACTACAGCATATCCCTGACAGAGGAAGGGGAAAATAGCCCTAACCTTTGATTAGATCAGTATTTTATACTCCATAATTATCAAGCATAGGTTACAATTTCGTTTAATATCTTCTCAGCTATGAGTACTTGACAAATTATGTTAAAGGGTATCCTTACTTTGTTAATCTCCTCTCATAAGAGAGAACTGCAGGTTAAATTTCAACAGGAAAGATAATTGCTTTACACTACTGGAAGGTAGGCAATAAAAAGCCTCTGGAATGGAGCTGCTACATTTCTTCCCATCAGTCTCTCTGTGCTCCACTGTACACATTTCACACTGAAATACTGAAGGGAGGCTTGTTTTGGTAGCACATTCTGACCACACACAGTGAAAAAATGGATCTCAGGACAGAGCAGAAACTTGCAAGTGTGGATCAAAACAGAAAACAAACCTTCCACCTGATCAATAGTTTTGAGAGCTAACAATATTCCTCCAAAATAAAGGGATTATCTAAGTGCAAAAGCAACTGACAATAAACATAAGCATCCCAACTATTCTGGAGAAGGATATGCCTCCACTCCCCTAAAAGATGTTTGGAATCAAGCTGGAGGAGCTTTTGCTGGAAAAGCAAGTCCCTGCAGCTCTCAGGTCTGCAAGCTGCCATTCTTCTTTTGAAATAGCTGCAAGTTTCATACATTCTGAGCAGTGACAGGTCAGCTTGAAAAAACCTTCAAGATTCAACCCTGACACAACTAATTCCTTCCAAAATTGACCCCTACCATCATTTATACCACTGTTTTTTTCACTTTGCTAAGGCTGAGTGCCAACCAGGCATCCTTCAAAGAGCAGCAGAATTACACATGGACAATGTATTTTGTAAAATAATTTCCAGGCTCAATACCAACACAGCAAACTGTGCAGAGACCTGCACTCCCTGGTCCAGGCCAGCAGCACACAGAGCTCACACCACAGCAGCCACTGGTCCTGCACCTGCAGGAAGAGGCTCAGCAGCACTCCTGCCCTGTCCCATCACATGCTCCCACAGCACCACGACCTCAGCTGCACTGACACGGATTGAAAACGGCTTTTTGGAGCACTTTTAGCTGGCATCTGCCTCACTGGAAGGTTACACTAATGCTCGTGCCAGCAAAGGGAAGCAGTAAGTAGCTGAGCACTCAGGGCTGCTGCTCTCAGCAGTGCCAGCTTATGGTGGCTTAGTCAACACAAAGCCACGGATGCTTTTTACTTAGTGTGACGTAATTGTCACTAAAATACTAATCTGTGATCCCTCTTGGAGAGAAGAGCTTCTGCTTTAAGCAGCCCTCCTTGCTAAAGGGGAAAAAAACCTAAAAAGGGATTCTGATAGACCTTTTACACAGCAGAAACACATGGTACTTTATCAGAAAGGATGAAAACACGCACACAACAATGTATTTCAATACCAAACCGCTTCCTGCAGCCAGCTTCCAACAATGAATTCCAAGTTAAAAATTATCTACAGCATTTGCTATGTAATCCTGCTGATATTAAAATGGGATTCTGAACCAGTAATGAATCTTTACCTCTGAACTTCACCTTGGATACAAGCTCTCTGCAGAACTTAGAGTAGCACTGTTGTCATGTTTGTTTCTTATCCTGGTACTTAAAACCTACCTTTAAAGCCTCTATGACAAGATCTCTTGCTTCTAATTCTCCCTCAAGAATGCTAAACAGCGTCAGTAGTTCTGGTTTGCTGAGTTTTTCCAGATTCATCCTGAAAACCTGAAAAATAATGAAAACTAGTTTAGTAGGCATTTGTTTGGACATTGGGATCAGTATTCGAAGCTATGACATATAATCTCCATTTAAGTTCAGCTTCCAGCTTTTTGGATTGCAAATTGCCCTGAGGGGGGATAATCTTCTCTCCAGCTTCCAACACCAGCTGCAGAAGATGCATTTGTCACCTCCTCCTGAGGGACAGGAACATATGCACACCCAGATGGTGATGGCAGAGCGTGTGGGCTAACAGGACAGGACAATATTCACCAAGAAGCAGCCAAAGTTAACAGGAGAGGGGAAGAACACAGATATTTAAAAGTCATACTGATTCCACATCTGCCTCAGACAGCTGCAAATATCACTGAGGAGCTGTGATGAACGAAGGCCAACATGGGCCACCCACAGGAGCTCAGCAGTGATGGGAATGCCGCAGTGCTGGGATTCGCTTCCTGGGAATGCCGTTATCCATGCTGATGGAGCAGGCCCAAACCACTTCACAAAAATCAATGCCACAGAAAACACACACTTAATTACTATTCTTTCAAACCGTTTCAATATCAGCCTCATTTATTAAACATACTTCTACTGCCTACATAAGAGATCCATCATCTGAACTGCACATAAAGAGGCCTCATATTCCCTAGCATCTTTGCTGATACACCTAACACTGTCCTGTAATAAGCCTTTTTGTTACATTATTTTGTTAAAAATGGAAATAATTTTAGATGAAATCTTTTTCTCTGATGAAAATACACCCATTGATACAGTCTTGTGCTTTGCTCAACCATCAAATATACTTTTCTGAGTCCA